CGACACACAACAGAACTCATGTTTTATACCAGTAGATCACAGATGCTTTAACTTTTGTGACTTTTTCATGGACTAGTACTAGCAGCTAACGCTAACAACAACAGGCAGGAAGTGGAAGAGAGGTGCGTGGCTGGAATTTAAACGGAAATACGTCATTAGTGGCCGTGGCATATAGGCTGTTGTTGCGCCAGACTCTTGCTTGTTCTGCTGAGCCTCAGCTTCTACAGTAGATCACATGGTCACGTGGTTTTAATGTACTCCATCTGTTCTATAGAACCTCCTTAGACTATCAGTGAAGCTAGATTAGTGGGAAATGGGCTTTAATGAAGGTACTTCCTGTTTATCAGATTTTTCCGATTAGAAAACACAGGTGACCTTTGATCATTGACTTACAGACACACAGACACACAGCTGACAGTTATTTTAAACCTGGTAGCAGGATCTGAAATCTCAGAATGTTCAGCCAAATCCATCCCTTCTTTAAATGAAAGGAGTTTCTGTCCTGAACCAGTGGTTCCCTTTTAGCTTCTGACCCCAAAATAACAATGACTTCAAAAAACAAAGACTTGGAGCCTTAAAAGTGCAATTAAATGTGTGCAAACCACACAAACAGCTTAAACTAATTTTTATTTGACTACTTTTGTTTTTATCTTTTAACAGTTATAGTTGGAATGGACAATAATTTTTAATTTAGCAGCGTGGACAGTCATTTTTTCAGTTCTCGTAAAACAGGCGATGGTCCTAAACCAGGAAGTCTAGGCTGACTTTAGCTCTCATTTAGATGTTTTCTATGCTTTTTAAACAGCTAGCTGTGCTGACACTTTGTCTTAATTAGCCCGGCATAAATAAACGGTAAAAGAGCTTGAGAAAAACATGAGTAGCGGGTCTTAAATTAGTCATAATAAGTTTGTTTGGCTTGTAGGTGGGGGAAACGAGGGGGCTGCCAGAGATCCACTGATGCCCAGACTTTAGCTTTCATTCAAATGTTATTCTTTTCAATTTGTAGATCTACTGCCACCAAATTATTGTTCTTTTGTTAAGAAATGNGACAGGCTGTTTATTTTATAAACTTTGTTTACAGACAGCAGATTAGTTTGGCTAAAAAAAACTTGTTCATATTTGATGCTAGAAAATCAGTTTCTGGTTTCCAGTATTTACAGACTGTTTATTTGTTTATGTTTTGTTTATTTACAGACTGTTTATTTTCACACTGTGATTATTTGTTTAGATTGTTTATTTATTTAAAGAAAATGTTTGTTTATTTATTGACAGGCTGTTTATTTTATAAACTTTGTTTACAGAGTTTATTTGTTGAAAAACACAAACAGGAAGTTAAATAAATCAGTCTGATCATGTTAACACCTCAGGTTGTTTACTGTTTATTATTTGTTGTTTGTTTGTAAGAATTTCAGAATAAAAGCTGGTCCAGTAAAAACCGGACCATCAGTTCTGGCTCTGTGTGTTGCAGGACCCCCTGAGGACGGTCCAGAGGAGGGTCCGGAGGACGGTTCTGGTCCAGAAAACGGGGGCAGCTCCAGTGAGAAGGAGCAGGACCCGGCCAGCTCCCCAGAGGGATCCAAACCCGGTTCTTGCTACACCCCGGACCCCCCAGAACCCCCATCCCACCCAGAAGAGAGCCGCACTCCCAGAACCGGTGGTCCAGAAAAGGAGGCGGAGAGTCCTTCACAGAGGTACCCCCCAGGGGACCAGCTGGTCCAAGGTCTCTCCGGGTCCATCAGCCTCAGGACCAACAGACCCCCTCTGGAGGTTCTGAAGAAGATCTTCCCGGCCCACAAGCCCCCGGTGCTGGACTTGATTCTGCGGGGGTGTGGGGGGGACCTGGTGGGGGCCATCGAGGTTCTGCTGTCCAGTCGGAACCCGGACGGGAGCGCGCCCCCTCACTCAGAACCGGTCCCGGACGGCCTGGTCCTGCCGCCMAACGGACACCTGTTGGATCCCGGTCTGGGTCCGTACCCGCACCCGGGTTCCTCGTCCAACAAGTGGTCCGTGGGCTCGGCCTTCCGGGTCCCGGACTCCCTGCGGTTCGGGTCAGAGGCGTCCCCGGGGGCGCTGGGAGTCCCCCTGCAGCACCCGTCCTTCCCGCAGCCGGGCCGGTACCCCCTGATGCTGCGCAGCTCGCTGACACGCGCACACGCCGGCCCCTTCGTGCACAACGACGTGACCCTGTGGGGGTCCGTGGCCCTGCAGCAGCAGTACCAGCTCCGGTCCGCGGCCCAGTACGTGTCCCCCTTCAGTCCCGGAGCCGCCTCGGGCCCCGCGGCCTCAGTGTTCCGAGGATCTCCTCTGATCCCGTCCAGAACCTCCGAGGAGCCGCGGGTCAGCATCCAGGAGGAGGCCTGCGTCCTGGGACCCAAACCCGGACTCTACTCCCCCGAAGAGGAGTTCGAGGACCGCTCGGACTCTGCAGACACCCGGGTCCTGAACTCTGGATCCTGAACCGGATCAGACCCGGACTGAGTTCTGCTTCTGGAAGTTAAACTCACCTCCTGCTGCTGCAGGTTCTGACCCAGAAGGACCGGAAATGACAGGTGATGGACTTCCGGTCYGCACGTTTAGATCTCTGCATGAAATGAGCCAAAAACATGAAACCTGCTTGTTTTWGTTTTTATTGTGTTGAATAAAAACTTCAAACGACTTCCTGTTTTTATTTGTTCTATTTGTCTTTCAAAATAAAAGTTTTATTGTTTTTAATTTAAACTTTTATATTTAAACTGATCAAACATCACAAAGTTCAGTTTGAAGGTTCTGATAAAAAACATCAAACCCCCTGACGTCATGAGCTGGCCCCGCCCACTTCTTCAACCGGAAGACAAAACAGTTTGTTTCAAAACCAGATCCAGGTCCTGAATCCAGTTCAGCTGCTGAGATGAGTCCACCATCCAACCACACATCCAACCAGACATCCAACCATCCATCCATCCATCCA